TAGAGGAAAGCAGAGGTTTCTCAGAGAAAAATACAAATATGAAATGGAAGAACATAATACCCACAGTCCCACCCATCTGGAGAAAACTATTGCTAACACTTTGCAACGAAACCTTCCAAAGCCAAATATGATTGTGTTTATATTATTATTTTTAGTAGTTTAAGTACTCCTCTATTTCTGAACATTTAAGTTGTTCCAACAAATGCCTACACATAACATTTCCAATCACCCTTATTCTATATTGAAATGACCAGAACTCAAAGCTAGTGACAATTGTAATTTGGGAACAAATTACAATTTGAGCTAAACAGACAAGTCAGCCATCACACTTTTGATCAAATTACATTTAGTCAGCTTAGGTGTATGTCTTGTTTCAGCCAGTCAAATATTGAAAGGATTCTGACCTTTCATTTTTGCTTACTGTTGCTTCTATGTAGGTCCCCAAACCAAAAGGATTGAGAATATTCTGATGCACCAATGATGCACCCTTCTAATTTAATAGAATTACAAAAATATCATTTAATATGGCTCAAGTCCAAAGGGAAAAATTATCATGGCCTGTACTCAGCTCACCTCTCCCTCCCCACCCCCCTATCATATCTAGGCACAGCATTAAGCTAAATTGTGATGCCAGGTTTATGAAGTTGCAGGCACCGCTGGACTATATTATGATAGGTATTTCTTCCTCTTCTCTCCTTACACCAGAGGCAGTGAATATCTACACATTACCATTTAGAAATAAAATGGCATTAGAAACAGGATCTGTTTTATCTCCTAAATTTTCACACAAACCTATATATAAATCTATAGAAATCTTTGCCTTTATCTTGAAAGCTTGCTCTTGTTAGGTGTTAACATTTTATACAGAAACCTCCTCAATTATCCCTGGCATTTTTCTTATCTGTCAGCTATAATAGCATATAGACACAAAGTAGATTTTTTTTGGTCCGCTTTTATTTTAAACGGTATTTAGAAAAAAAGAACATTTTACAACCTTGTTTAGAGTTTCCAATGGCGCAGAATAAACTAGATACAGCCTTCTGTGAAGTTCTATGACATTTAGCTGGTGGTTTTACTGTAAATGGCCAACCTAAACACATGTTAATGGATAATAAAGCATACCCTGGATTGCCTTATTATTCATTCTTAAAACCCTAAGCATTTTTTCTAAAGTGCCTCTCAGTATTGCTAGAGTAAGTTTCACAGTCTCCCAGGAAAAATCTGCAATGACTGTTCATTTGTGAAGGAGGAGGGAAATAGAATATAAATGTCAAGAAAAGATTATAAACTATAAACTGAATTCCTATGCAGCTTATAAAATGTGAGATTAAAAAGACAGCTCATTTTAACTAGCAATGAAGCCGTTATGCTTTCAGGATGAAAAAAGGGCTACATATGTGTATATCACCTCATTATGAATGGGATTTTTTCAGTGTAAGAGTTGGACTGAGAAGAGGGTTTAGCTGCAGCCAACAGTAAAGTCTTATCGCAGGGTTGGTTTGGGGACACCAGATGTCACTCAGCCTGGGGCAGGATTTGAAGAAAACACACAGAGAGTATGTATTTTCCTGCTGGGGTCAGCATTCCCCGAGATACAGTCAGTACTTCAACAGCACTCACGCAGACATTATCAAGGTGCATGCATGTATGTGTTCGGATGGGAAGTTGAAACAACAGTGTTGTAGGCAGTGGTAATTTTTACTCCTTCTAAGTTAGGGTGAAGTGGGAAGATGTAAGCCTCAGAAAGAGAAGAATGACAGGAACCGTTCAGTTCTCATTTTAGCAATAATGTTGGTATTGGATACTCTTGGTAGTAGTACTAGGAGCATCTGTATATTTGTTCTATTATACTATAATAGTATTGGTATTTGTAGTAGTAGTCACAGTAGCAGCAGCAGCAGCTTAAGTCATGGCAATAGTAGCAGTAGTAGAAAAAAACAAAAACAAACAAACAAAAAAAACCACCTAACATTTACTTTGAGCTTACTATGTACCAGGCTCTGTGTTAGGCTGTTTGCATTATCGGCATGTAATTCTCACAATAGCTGGCAGAAGAATCTGATAGTATGACCACTCTCCTTTTACAGTTGAGGAATCCAAGGCCTAGAGTGATTCTGTAACTTTCTCAGAGCCATAAGGCTAAAAAGGGAAGCTAGGATTTGAATTTAGGTAGTCAGTTTCCAGAGACTGCTTCTGAACCTTACTATTACACATTCCGTATGTAAATGGAAGTGTAACATAGTCTGCCTATGAAAAGTAAAGAAAACTTAGTATATTGCAATTTTAATTTTTTTGCTTCTGATGCAATCCCAAGTTTAGCTGGCATATTTTTACATAAACAACAGTATTTGTCATACCTAATGCTCTCCAAAAAGACAAAAAATGACACTGAAACAAATGTAAGGTCAATTTCATTCGTGGTTACTTTCAGTGCTAGAAACACTAAGGAAGATGAAGATAGGAATGTCACTAACAAATACTGCTCCACATCTTCACAAAGTACTTGATATTAGTATGGCACTTCTGAGAAATGTTAGCTTCCACATAGCATTTCATGCTCATAGCACAAGTAATAATTCTGAAGAAAAAAGAATGTGTGAGAGTAATACTTGCATTTAACTTTAAGGAAAAGTGATCACACTAACGTTCTTGAAGATTAAATTAGCATTTCTGGTACTCATGGCGCCTTGCTCTGTTCTGTATGTAAAATGTGCCATTTTCCAAGAATTTATGCAATAACACTTTCAAGACTATTAAATGTTTGGTTTTCTAAATGAATGACAGTTTCCATATCCTTTTGTGGGCTGAGAACTACTTGTCTGCTTTGTTTTATCTGTCCTCCTTAAATACGGTTGCACTGATTTATTGGCAGCAAATCAATAAGAGGTAGGTGCTAAGAAGGAGAAATGCATTTTTGTAGCCTCTAAAGCACTGTAGTATTATTAATAAAAGTAATATTTCATGTTTGGGGAAATTTTACTGTTTTATTCTATTTGCTACGCTTTCAAAATTGTGTTGTTATCCTCCTAATAATCCTTCCCAAATCCCTTAAGAACATTTCGATGCACCTTTCAATCCACCAAAATGGCTTCTGGTCTACACGGTTTTCTTCCTGCTCTTATTCATTTAGGGTTCAGATATTTGGATATTTTTCTAATTTCCTGTGGGTGGGCAGAAAGAGGCAGAGACGGGGAGAATACTGTACATGGGATAAGCAACAATTTGTCACCTCTTACACTGAATTATTTTTAAATTATTCTCTACTGAAGATGTGAGGAAGGGTGATGGCAATTCACCTCACAGCACTCATTTCAGAAGCTACAGTAAAGACAGATATTCTTCCACCTCTAGTATAACCCTTTAAAAATGAGAAATTCCCAGAAAAAGACTCATATTAAAAGTCAGAAGGATAAGAATGTTAAACTAGGAATATGCGGTGTAAACTAAAGATATAAGTCAGCGTTGTCTAATCCTCAATTTTGCCCAGAGCCAACCCAGGATAAACAAAAAACTTTAAATCTTGTAATGTGGCACTCAAAGCATAAAAACCAAGGTTGCTATCCTTCAGCTTAAACTAATCTACCCTGGAAACCTATCCTGAAAATGGCCAGAAAATTACCATATATAAACCCCAAAATGGAAGGTAAAGCAGTGATCAGTAAAAACACTGTTTCCAGTTTTAGCTCTAGCTAAACCCAGATTCACAAAGGGTCTCTTGTAATAAATGATTCCTTTTCAACTTTTTTAATATAAGTAATAATTTGTTGACATTTTTCCTTGAAGTTACTGTAGGCTGTCTGGGATTGCTCCACTCCAATTAAACCAATGGAATTCAGTTAGAAGCAAACTTACTTGAGACAGCCAATGATTTGAAAATGCTATTTGATAAGCTTAATCCTTGTTTTATTTTTTTAACCGCCTGATGAGGAAAAAAATATACATATTCATATTTATATAAAATTATGGCTAAATTTGTTGTCCTTATTTTTTGATGAGTGTATCTTCTAAGTGTTTCATCTATTTTATTTCAATTAATTCTCAGATCCACCTTTATGTAATAGACACTCTGACTACCTCCATGCTACATATGAGTAAGGCATGGAAGTTAAATAATTTGCTCAAGTCACAAGGCGAGGAAGTAGAAGAGCTGTCTCCAGGGCCCACATGCTTATGAAACTGCCTTTGCAAAATTATGACTGAGCCAGTGAAAAAGATCTAACCTAACTGGCTTCATCTTGCTTTCTAAACTTTAAGTTGTCCTTGTTCATTCCCGCCTGTAAGCTTAACTAACTTTGAGAGAAACTTAGTTTATAGTTTATAGTATAAAACAAAGATGGTAACAGTCCTTTTCCAAAACAAACCTACTTCTTGCCTGGGAACTGGAATGCCTTTGTAGGACTAACAAATTAGCCATAAGGTTAGAAATTATGGTTTAGGTGTCATACAGCTAGAGGGTACAAGATTCTGACCCTCCCTAAACTGCTCCTAAATCAGTGCTTGAGATATTTTGTAGACACTACATTTGATGGATCAACTGGCATCACCCAGATCGATTAACTGGCTCATCTGATCTTGCGGCCCCCACCCAGGAACTGATACAGCACAAGAGGACAGCATCAATTCCCCATGATTTCATCTCCTACCTAACCAATCAGCACTCCTGGTTTGCTGGCTTCCCAACCCACCAAGTTGTCCTTAAAAACTCTGATCCAATGCTCAGGGAGACTGATTTGAGTAATAATAAAACTCTCATCTCCCGCACAGCTGGCTCTGCGTGAATTACTCTTTCTCTATTGCAATTCCCCTGTCTTGATAAATCCGCTCTGTCTAGCCAGCAGGCAATGTGAACCCATCAGGTGGTTACACTTATATAATTCAAATAAACACAAAGTATTTCATTTGTGTAAATGATGGTTTAATGTTTTTCAATTATAACATGTTCAGTCAACATGATGTTTTGCTTTTTTCATTTCTTGAAAGTTAGAGTCACATTTTCTTACGGACTTGCTCTTTTATGTTTTCTCTCATTAGCTGGTTGCATAAATTTTCTGACATTCGGCATCAGTCTAGTATAACCTACCTCCCTCTATTTTAAGAAACATTTATGGCTATTTCCCTTTGGAAGCAAGAGGAGAATATAAGACGCTTTTGTTTCACAACAGTTTATAAAATGATGTTTTCTGGTTATTGTTTCAATTTTTGAAGATATTATTTCAAAGTATTTGTTACACTCAGAGTCAGGCATTGTTACCAATGTATGTCATTTTATCTGTTAAATTGTATTTTCTCTCTTATCAGTTTAGTCCTGAAGAATACCTCTCCTGTCAAGCAACTATGATGTTGCTTCTTTGTTCTCTAAATAGTTTAGAATCTCTTCCAGAAGCTAGAAGAGTTTCATGATAATAGTGTTCCAGGATAACATTTTTAAAATGTTTTTAACTGAAGTATTTTCATTTTAGCCTCAGCTATTTTAAGTAGATAGGCTTGGTCAACTAGTAAGCAACCATTCTTCCAAAAATGTGATAGTCAACAATCTGCTCTCAATCTGTTACAGATTTTTTGCGTTCAGTTGTAGTTCTGTGTGCAAATGTTGAAGAAGGAATCTGAGTTCCTGTTATAAATGTGTCTCATAAATAATGTTTTTATTCAGCCAGTGAAATTTTATGTATTTTTTTAAGTTTCTGGAAAATATTAAAATATTCAAAAATAATGTGGGCATCAAAAGCCTTAAGTTTATTGTCAAGTGCTAATTAATCTCAGGAGAATTCATTTCCTTATTATTTAATGATATTCAGCAATCTCTTCTAATGAATGGCATTTGGTGACTTGATAATTACCATCAATTTCTTGTTTTCCACCTGTTATCATACAGGCTTTATTTTTTTATTTTCTATTCTGTAAAACAAATAAAAAATAAAGCAGTTCAGTAACTACTAATGTCCATTCTCTTGGGTAAATTTGTGATTGTTTGAGAGAAACGGAATAAAAAAATCCTCAGGGAGCAAGTTTTACATTGAGCAACTGCTGAAATTCCTGAAATACTACACATTGCCTGGTGTTTTTCAGCACAGGATAGTTCTTTGTTTGCAGCTTTTTAATGTTTGCAGCTTTTAATCGGGTTGATCACTATGGTCTATTATGTGATTTCCCCTCATGACATGATTCCTGTTCTCAATCGCTTTATGATCTAAGGTGACATGACATCATCCTGACAGTATATATATCAAGTTAGAAATACAATTTGCATGTATCTTTAAAATTCAATTGTAATTTTTCTATTTTTTAAGTATAGACATACACATTTTCTGTCTCATAACAATTGCCAGACAAAAGATAAATGAAGTGTATGTGGTTTTAAGTCTCCCACAGCTCAAGTATTTTCTAATTCTTTTGCAGAAATGTCACCTTAAAAAGGTTTAAGAGAGGTGGAGATGAAAGATCAATTGTGCAAAGCCAGATATATGGTTTATTCATTTCCTTTAGCTAGGGAAAGAACAGCTAGTCAAAGTGGCAAGGTCAGGTAAAGAAAAGATATTCGAGTGAAATTTAGGGATAAAGCAAGGTAAAAATGTATTTTGATTTATTAACTATTAAATGTAGCATGTTCCTAATAAAACATTTGAAATTGCTGATATTTGAATATTTACTATATTAAAATTACTTTTATATTTTTCCATTTAATCCTCACTATAACCTCACAATAATAAATGAAGTGCAAATACCAACTGGGCCAAAATTAATCAACTAGCCTGTTGCAGAACAGAGATTTGAACTGAGCTCTGACTGATTCCAGAGCTCATGGCCGTTCCATTACACAATGCCACTTCATTAAAATAGACAAAAATTATTCTATATAGATATGTTTATTTTCCATATTAAAAATAAATTGTTAATATCCCTCTAACAACAAGAGTTGCTTAAGCCCCCTAAGTTTGTACTTTATAAGAAAAAACAAATATCTAAAACACAGCTAAACATGATGAAATATTAGACACATGTTTTATTTTCTGCAGTCTGTATATCTTACGATTTCCCTTTATACAACAAACTCTATATGGTGCGACAGCGAATTTCTTTAAAGTTAAGTTATAACTATTCACCTTTCTTGGTAATGACTAGAACTAGAATCTATTATTTAGAATACTTGTCAGAAACGTCTGTGTCAATCCCAACTGATAATCAGACATGGTTCCTGTAGCTCTCCATGCAAAACAAATGAAGCCTGTCCACGTTAAATTTTGCTTCTTATAATTTGGCAATTTCTGTGTTTTAATTCGGTAATAATTCTCACATGCTTTATGAGGTCTGCTGTTCCTAACTTTTTCATTACTTTTCCCTCCACTATCAGATAGTGCCCCACACTTGTCATATACAACAGAGTATTTTTATTCATCAGACCCTGACCTTTGGTTGCCCTTTTTCATTTTTATTCCTTTGTCTTTTCACTGTGAAATTCCAAAGCTTTTATTTTTATAGTAGATAAATGTGATTTTTTTTTTAAGGAAAGCCACTTAGGAACCAAATAATAAAAGTGGAAGTTTTAAAAAAGATATTATAACAAAGATGTTAAAGAAAGTGAGAACAGCTTTCTATTTAGACCATTATTCGACCATCAGAAGATGCTTTTTTTGCTTTCACCCATTAGTATATAATGTGTTGAAGTATAAAACAAGCTCTCATAATGAAAAAAGAGTGGTATCTCTGTGTTTTTTTAATATAGCACCTCGTACCTTAATTTGGGTTACTAGGCATTTAATCAAGCTATCAGATAACAGCCCCCAAAATATTTTACCAGTCTAACTTTTCTCTAAAAGGCACACATAAGAAAATTAATATTAATGATAAATGAATTAATAAATAAATAAAATATATCTCCAATAAATATTTATTGTCTGTTTTATGCTACTTACTGAGTAAAATAGAGACATACAGAAGTCATTGTGACTGTCTTGCAGGAGTTCACAGTCCTAGAAGGTGGATGCAGATTTTAAAAATTTGCACATATACAGAAGATTTTTAAAAAGTAAGTGCTTTATGGCAACTTTCTGGAAGATTTAATGAGGACCTACTTACAAGTTGTCCTAATCACTTAAAGTAGTTAATTTGAATCAGAAGCTCTGCAGTATCTAATGACATTGAAGCTTAAAACAAATTATTGTGGAAGGCAAAAGGAAGAAGCAGGCAGAAAATGCTGCAGCCTCTAGGTCTTCAATGTTGAGGGAGCTATGAAGTCAGTCTCCTTTTCTTTGACCACCTACACCCTTTCTACTATTCTTTCAGTTGTTAAACCTTCCTTTCTCCACAGGAGCTCTGGCCTAGATCAAGTAATTACTGTGTGTAAATGCTCTTAGTTGTTACATACACTTAAGCGCTTCCTATCCTCCTTTGTTGTCAACTTATTATTTCATGTATGTATATTTTTTCCTCATTAAGAAGATTATAAGACCTCTGAAAGCAAGGACCTTGTTTAAAAATGTCTTTATATGTCCTATAACAATGAGAACAATGCTAAGTGTTTAGTAGGAACTCATAAATACTTGTTTGTTATTTGAATTAAAGTTTTATTTCTGGAAAGATGAAAAAACAATTGACTAGAACTCGCTCTAGCCCTAGACACTTCCCACCAGTGGAACTATCTAGAATCCAGCAAGAAATAGGTTCCAATGACAGAAGCCAGACATAAACATAAGGTGAGAGAATCAGGGTATGTCTTAGCAAAGAGTCTTTGAGATACAAATTGAATCAGCTACACGTATAAAGGCCTGTCCTCTGCATAATAACAACCAATCAAAACCAAAACCAAGTATTCTTTGTTTTTTTTAACTATACTAAACTGGAGAAAATGTATTCATGGCATTATGCATAATTGTGAGTTATGAATAGTGTTAAAATTTATAAAAACATATAAATGAATTATTCCTTTGCAATGAAGAAATGCAAAAAATACATTACAAAACAAAATATTAATTTATATTGAATTTGAAACATAATTCAACATCTTCCTGTGCAAATAATGTTTCTCTTTAGCCTCATTTTAGTATAGCTAAAATAAAGGAAAATGAGTAGCATTTCTATGTGTAAAAAGCAAACATGAATTGGAAGAATCAATATTGTTAAACTGTACATACTAGCCAAAGCAATCTACAGATTCAAAGTAATACCTACAAAAATATTAATAACATTCTTCACAGGAAGAGAAAATGCAATTTTAAAATTTACATAAAATCACACAAAGACCCACAATAGCCAGAGAAATCCTGAGCAAAAAAACAAAACTGGGGGCATCACATTACCTGACTTCAAATTATACTACAGAGCTATAGTAATCAAAACAGCATGGTACTGGCATAAAACCAGACACATAGACCAATAAAACAGAAAAAAAGTCCATGCATTTACAGTCAACTTATTTTCGACAAAGATGCCAAGAATATACACTGGGAAAAAGACACTCTGTTTAATAAAGATGCTGGGAAATCTAGACATCTTTATGCAGAACAAGGAAACTATATCCCTATTGTCATATACAAAAATCAAATTTAAATGGATTAAATATTTAAATCTAAGACCTGAGACTATGAAACTACTTTTAAAAATTGGAGAAATGCTTCTCAACATTGGTCTTGCCAAAGATATCTTCAATGTGACCTCAAAAGCACAGGCGACCAAAGCAAAAATGTACAAATTGGATCATGTCAAGCTAAAAAGCTTCTGCACAGCAAAGAAAACAATTACCAGGGTGAAGAGACAATCTAAAGAATAGGAGAAAATATTTGGAAACTCTTCAACTGACAAGGGATTGATAACCAGGGTATATAAAGAACTCAAACAACTCAATAGCAAAAATTAACAAATAATCCTGTTAAAATTGATCAAAAGATCTGAATAGACATTTCTCAAAAAAAGACATAAAAATGTCCAACAGGCATATGGAAAAATGCTTAGTATCAGCAATCATGAGAGAAATGAAAATTAAAACCACACGGAGATACCATCTCATCCCAGTTAATATCATTTTTAACAAAACAACAAAATAATGCATGCTGGTGAGGATA